ATAAGAAGTTATTATTATTATTAATTAAATAAGTCTGCCCTCTGACAGTTATACTATACACTACGATAGAATAGATGAGGGAGGAGATAATCAGAGTCACCCTAAAGATATACTTGACTGTAACTTTATTAAAGACAGTGACTTACTGAATAAAATAATGTACTAATCATAAGGGAGAATGGTCAGAAGTGAACACTGTTCAAAGGGGATGGACTTTATTCAGCAGAAATTCCTCACGAGGAAACCTGGCTAGGGAAGTGGTAAGAGTGCCACACATTTCCTTCTCTTAAAGCAAGGGAGGAGAAGGGAGGGTGAATAGCAGAGCTGCTGGATCTGCAGATCATCCAAGGGTTCTAGTCAAAATTGCCTTGCATCATGTATACTAATATGTACATTGTCAAGTATTCATGCATTACATTTTAAAACAAAATGCAATCATTCCCATCACTACCATGAATAATTTCCAACATTACCACCACCACATCCAAAATTCTCAAAGTGCTTTCCAAAGAGAACTACTGATTCAACAAATCTTACTATGACTATCATGTAAGGATAGAACTAGATGTCATATTAAAGATAATATAACTGGGTTCCAACAATGATGGACTGCTTTGGGGAATAAGAAGTCAAAATCAAGGTGGCTGGAAGTCCTTGACTTCCCTACTCCACTTAACTTGAATAGTCTTTTTAAATATATATGGGAATTTGTGTATTTGATAAATTGTTTTTTCAGTTTAACAAAATAGCTTTAAAACCATCACCTAGTCCTGGTACAGATGCTTAAATTGTTGCTAGATGTGAGGTGGTATCTACAAATTCCTGGCGACAGTAAGTGGCAGATATGGTACAATCCCAGTCTCACACGCTGGATTCAATCATTCTTTATATGTACCACAACATCTCTTTACCTCTTCCTTCCATGTAAGAGCAACTACCTACATTTTTCTTAATAGCATTGAAATCATTCTCCCAGGGACACAAGCTTAAAGCTTAAACTTCAGTTCACTAATCAAAGTTTCCTAACATTTCTTAGCAGTTTATCTTCACCCTAAAGGTAAGATATGGATTAAACAAAAAGTAAGCACTGACTATGCATCGTGGATCTCTAGGAGGTGTTGCTGCTTCTTTCTCCTCTTTCCATCCCTCAGATCCAGAGATATGAAAATAGTAAGGGTATTCAGGAAACAAAATAACACTTTCTGGTTGTCTGGGGCTTACTTGATGCTTGTCAAGGAAAAAGTCCTTTTCAGAAGGAGGGGCACATTCAAGAACTTCCAGGCTCACAATTCAAAGATGATTTTACACAAAGCATTTATTTATTTAATTAGGAGGTTCATGGAAGGGGTAAGACAGCCAGAATCTTTGACTATTGGTTCCAAGATGTCAGACCCTCTGTCCAGGCCAGAGGTCTTAGTCCATATATGTCTAGTGAGCCCCTAACCAAGTGTTGTGTCTTTTCTTTGATTTCTTTGCCTAACAGATGATTCTTGTGTACACCATGGATTTCCAATGGGTACCGTCTCAGTCTCCAATGTATGTTTCAAACTTACACAAATTTAACTAATGACCTAGCTATCTAGCTTAAATATTTCAGACAGAAGTATAATTTCTTGTCTTATGTACATGTGTTCTAATCACTACAGAGAGCTTCCTACTTTATCTCCTTTGCCCATACATTTATGCATATTAATAACAAATATTCCCATAGTGTCCCTGAAAGAGTAATGGAGCAATTCATAATAATATGCATCTTTGAAGGTGGAAGGTAAAGGGGAACTCTGACAGGAGAGCTTGTCTTCCCAAATGTCCCACCATGTTCCCTATTTCACTCCTTCATGGTACATGGCCAGGCCCTGCACATCTCTACGGCTGAAGCTCTCTCAGAGCATCCTTTTCTTTCCATGCCATGACCACACCCCTCAACCAGAGCTTATCACAGTATAACACTACTGTAACAGCTCCCTGCTTCCCCTGTTTCGCTTCTCTCTTCTAATAGTCATTTCCTAAGTACCTCCATCATATTTAGGTAACTACATATGACCCACCCTCCAAGGCAAACACAGATATTATCTCCTTCCTAAATGCTTCCTTCTACCTAGAAATAACCGTTTGTTCTCTGGGACGCCTTCAGAAAGTCTCTTCTGGAACTTGTGGGGAGTTGAATGGAAGCCCTCTCAGGCTAACTGCCTAGAAAGAGCCTCCCTGAGAGGCACTGCTTACATCTAGGGCTTCATCTTTGTTATTGGTTGACTTGTGTCCACCCCTCCATTCCTATTTTGAAGTTCTAATCTCTAGCAGCTTAGAATTTGACTTTATTTGAAAAATAGTATCCTTGCAGACAGATGTAATTTAGATAAGCTGAAGTCTTGAGGGTGGGTCCAAATCCATTATGACTGGTGTCCTTATCAAAAGAAGAAATCTAGACACAGAGAAAGATGATGTGAAAAAAAACATAAGGAGACGACAGTCATCCACAAGGCAAAGAAGAGAGGCCTAGAACAGATTCTTCTCATATGTCTCTCGGAATAAACCAACCAGGCTAACAACTTGATTTAAATGTCTATTATCTAAAACTGTAAGATGATAAATTTCTATTTTTTAAACTATCCAGTCTGTGGTACTTTATTACAGCAGTCCTAGCAAACTAACACATCTCTCTTCCTTTCAGGCTCAGAAATTACATCTTTTCAGAGTTTTTATGTATCCGGATTCAGGGATGATGACTCATGTTTTAAGAAAAGCAATGCAATAGACTAATGTATAAAGCCAAAATGATAATTCATTAATCACAGTAATAGCTAAAACTGCTGATGGAATCACATACTTTTGTCCTCTGGCCAACGGTCTCCTTGAATAATCATACCAGTTGGAAAGCCTAATCATAATCACTAAATTGTACATTGAGTATGGGCACACAGCAAGTGAAATAAACAGGATTTTAGAGCTGAAGCATTGAGTTACCATGCCCATCGCATATATTCAAATGAGATACTCGCTGGCGGGACCAATCAAGTGAAATCCTTGGAGTACATTATCTTTTCCTTCACTCAGTGTTTCAAACAGTGCAAAAGCTGTCAATATAGGAAGCACTGTTGGCCTTCCCCCTAGAACCCACCTTTCCTTTTCTCTTTCCAGGTTTTGTTTGGCGGTCTGGGCCTTGCCCCGCACCAGGAGATACCATCCCCCTCCTTAGTGGTATGTTCAATAATCCAGACTGAGGTCAATCCACACATGGGCCTTCCTAGGCTTCCTATGAAGCTGATCTTCTTTCAAGTTGAGATTTCTGTTTCTTGCCACCAAAAGTATCCTAATTTCTAAAGAATATTTTTTGGGGATGATTCCTACAACACCTGCAATTCAGAAACCATTCGTTTCATGGTGATTTTACACACCTTTGATCTCAGGTGTTTTGTGGGGATTTATAGTGGAGATCTCACTAGACAAATTGCTATGTGGGAGAAACTGTGCTGGGGATTCAGGGAGTAAGGAATCTAAGTGAGAAGACACAGGAGATCACAACTGATAAAAACAAGAATCTGGACTGAATTTACGGTATGGAGAAAATAAACAGGGTGTTGGTATAAAGAATGAGGACAGACTTTCTCTAGGGAGCGTGGTCACAAAAGCCTCTTGGAGGAGCTTTAAACTAAAACTTTAAGTTTGTAGGAACCACCTCAGTGTGTACCCCCCAAGCACTGCTCACAAACCTTTTACATTTTACTATGTATTATTTACATGATGTAGTGGATATCTGTCATTATTTTAGACAAATATCTAGGTCCTTAGACAAATAGCTGGATTATGAACTCATCTATTCATTTCAATGTTCGAGAAATTCCTTTTCTTATGCACAACGGTGGTGGCTGCCACCATAAGGAGCCCAAAATGTTAGAAATCCACCTTCCCAACCTCCTGTGCATGAGTGCCCTAGGATCCAGGAATGATAGGCACACACTTTGACCTGGAAGCTCCTACAGGGGCAACTTCTCTCTGGTAGTGGTACCTCAGCAGTGTCACTATGAGGGGTTCCTGGGTCACAAGAATGAGATGTTAAGTGATGCATCCAATCCTGTTTCAGGACAGTGGCTCACATACGAGGCACTTCTGTGGTGTTCGAGACACTGTTTCCAGACATTTAACTTCCATACTGGTTCTTCAGTCCCAGCAAGGTTTCTATGAGTTCCTTAATAGCCTTCAAGAAGACTTCTTTTCTGTTTAAAGGTTGGATTCTGTTGCTTGCTATTAAGAGCCCAGACTGATTCTTATGTCTTTTGTCACATAGTATAGGATACTCATGTCAAATTCATGAGAGCACTGTTGGAATTAGATTTTTTTGTTATTGTTTATCAAGTAGTCACACTGCCAGTATAATCTAGTTGTTTAAGGTTTATGGAATGAAAAAATTCTTTGCATTTAAGTTTCCTTTTTAACAAGAGGGATAAAATATAAAGTGTGTTGATTGCATATTCTTCCTCTTCTAAATATGGCTTTAATTGCTTCAGGTGCATCTTACAGAGTTAAGTAGAATTACCTTCAAATATGCCTTTTTCTGTTTCTTAAACTCACATTTGGCAAGGTATGTTGGTCTCCTTGGAGAAAACTATTGATATGTGAGTGTCTAAGAAAGAAATCTCTCTTGCATTCTTTAGTTCCCAGTTTGGAAAATTTTGAGCCACTACTGGGCATTACCTGATGACAGATACGTACCATTCCTGCTTTCTTTAGCTTAGTGGAAAAGAGCTGCAAATGGTACCAAAGGGAATAGTAACCTATGGTATAAAAAGCTAATAAAACAGCATTTTTGACTTGAGTTTTTAAGCTAACATTCAATTTAAAGTCATTAATGATTTAAAGTATATAACACTAACTTTTGTCCAGAGATAAAATACATAATAACTTCCCATTTGGGGGTAGAGCACATGCAAACACTTGATAAATATTTTCTCATTTCTCACAACAGCCATGCAAATATCAGTATTTACATTTTACCACTGAATAAACAGAGAAGCTTACCCAAAGTTATATTGTTAGAAAGTTATGGAGGAAGGATTTGAAAATGGATTTATCTTAATCCATTCTCCTTTACCACATAGTGTTCTTAGGTCAGTGGTAGGTAAACTGGCCTTCCTTTCATGAAAATAAAGCTGAGAGGACCAGGGCTATATCTCTCTCCTAGAACAATGCCATATACACAGAAGAGAAAGTAATGAATGGTTTGCTTGAAGATGACTACTGTTTTTATCATTTTAGTGTTCAAATTAATTATATGTGTTTAAAGCTGCTATTTTTATTTAGTTGTTTATTGAGCACCTAGCACAGTTCTCAATCATAAGTTCCTGATAAAATAATTGACTACTATAATACACTATAGTGCAAATCTTATTAGTTTATTAGACTAAACAAGCTGTAAAGAAATAAATATTAGAATTCTATACAACATAAAATTAATTATTAGGCAAATGTGGCAGAAGAGGCCCTGATATTTGAAGTCAACTGAAAAGTAAAAGTAAACAAAAGCAAGTTACATATTGTATTTAATGATTTTGGGTGATGTTAACAGACATGAAAATTTAAGAACTGGGAAGTAAGAACTTACACTAATTTACAGATTGTGGGCTCAAGATTAATTGATTAGATGAGGATTATTTATTATAGCAGGATTTAATTTATCTATGTCTAAAAGGATTTGGGAAAAATTGAAGAGTCCAGAGAAGGTAATCAGAACAATTAAATATTGAAAATATTCAGAGGAGGTGAAGTTGCCTATCCAGGAGAAAGTCAGCTTCACAGTGGCTTAGTAACTTCAGACACAGAAACCTCTATTGAGTGGCAAGTGTTGCTCTTTTCAGAGCACCTGTTAAGGCAAAACTGGCTTGAACAGCAGGAAATGAGAGTTTGGCTGATGACAAAAGTGATCCCTCTTCACAGAAGTTTCCCTCATGCCTTTCCCCAGTCAGCCCCCTAACAAGCAATCATTTCTATCGCCATGGATGAATTTGTCTTCTCTTAAACTTCATATAAATCGAAGTATACATTATGTACACATAAAATATCATTTTTATTTTCAGGCCTGAAGCAGATTACATCCATCGAGCCTATCATGAAATGTGATTTTTCTCTTCCAGGATCTCCTGTTCTACAATAGTGTCCCAAACAAGCATTTATGGTACGAGGAAGAGCTGATTACAGCTGCGGTTATAGCCAAAAGCCTGAAAATCAGGGTCCCGCAGACCCCAAGAGCTTATTGTGCCAGGCACAGAGTTCCACACTGCCTGCTGGAGGATGGCAACTCTCGGTTCTAAGCAACTGCTGACAACATCAGAATATGGGCTTCACAGCCTAACTACTGGGTTCAAACTCCATCTCTCCCACTTAATAGCTGTGTGACCCCAAGCAACTGTCTTAACCTTTCTCTTTGCCCCTCCAATTCCATTCTTGAAACTTCTCCCCATTCCCTTTTCCCCTGAGAAAATGACCTTTATGTAAGATATGTATGCAGACTAGATACTGGGTTCAGCCGATGAGGAAACTCAGGAGGACTGCAGAGGATACGAAGAGAATAGTCAGGATATTCATTCTCCTGCTACCTCTCATCCCAACAGTGGGTGTTGCCTTAGCTGGCTGTCCCTGCTGAAATCATGAAATCATTCTTAGAACACTCTCTGTACCTGTATCTTTGTCTGGTAATAGCTCCTCCTCAGTTATTTTGGCCTGAGACTACTGCCCTATCCTTGCTGATTCCCAACTCTCCTTTCACATCTTTGTAAATAGTTTTTGTTAAAAAAAAGAAAGAAAGAAAGAATGACAACTACAAACTCAAATTATCCCAGTTTGAGTGCTCTCTCTGTGACTAATTTCTTCATATGAAACAGTTTTTATTTCCTATTTTATTTTATGAACATGAAATGTACACACAATGCTTAGATCAACATTGGTGGAAAGTAAATGCTCAATGAGTGTTGATACCTGAGGTGGAGGAAGACTGGAGAAGGCCCTGTCACCTTCATCCGTCAAGGCAAGGAGTCCTGTCCCAGTTGATGCCACCCTTCAGAGGCAGGGCTACACCACTATGGCTGGTCTGAAAATAGTTTCTCTTGATCAGGTAGGAGAGGAAGAGGACTCCTCAACACCATGCTCAGTTATGGCAACCTAAGGCCAACGTAGACCCTATTTTCACTCTCAAGCAGTGAGTCCTTCCAAAGATACCCACTGTGCTGGCGTGACTGAGCCTGAGGAGCTCTCCAAAGTCAGCTACATCATGTTTCCCTGAACACCTCAGTGTTAAGTCTGGCTAGTCACACTGACTCCAGACTGTTAGCCAACTATGCATTTGCTAGGATTGCCGTAAAAAAGGACCACAGACTAGGGAGCTTAAGCTGAAGAACTGCATTTTCTCACAGTTCTGGAGGCTAAAAGTCCAAGAATAAGGTGTAGGCAGAGCTGGTTCCCCCTGAGGACTCCCTCCTGGGCTCACTGCTGACTGTCTTCTCACTGTGTCTTCACATGGTCATCCCTCCATACCTGTCTGGAACTGAGCAGGATCCTGCAGGGCCCCTCAATCTTTGCCTCTTATTTGTAGAAAAGCCAAAGTCTCCCAGGCCTCCCTGAGTCACAGAAGAGCGGGCTCAAGCAGTTGATGACTAGGACAGCAGAGCCATAGACTCACTGTCTGATGCACATCCTTGAGCTGTTTTACAGATACCATGACTGCCACCAGGAGGAAAAAGCTAACTGCATGATGACAAGACTGGAGCCATGACATAGCTGCTCCATCTCCACCAGGGCTAAATCTATGACTAGCACAATTCCAAGAACTGGCTTTAAGGAGAATGGAGTTAACACTATTGCACATAATAATCTATAACTTTGTAGGCATCAAAACAACTGTGGCTTGTTTCGGGTGGTTAGGATTTCAACCTATGAATTTTGAGGGGATACAACTCAGCCCATAAATAGGCTCCCTCTCTGCCTGTGGTAATTTCTTTGTCACGTGAGAGGGCTATTTATTTCTACCATCTGATCTCACTTTGGAAGATTCCAATTCATCAAGAATCTTCAATCACTTCCAAAAAAAAAAAAATTTTAAAGTGAGGCAGCAAGTAGTTTCCTTTCAATGGGTGGCTTCTGGCCTCCCTGTGCGCATTTTTTTCATTGCCGCCCAACAACCTGCGCAATGGGTGTAAAGGCTCTAGGACAACTGGTGCTAGTAAACTGGTGCAAGTAAAGGGACCATTTAAATTATTCTTCTTGATACGGGAAGATCCTCCAAGGCGGCCTGTAGTTGCATTTAAGAGTAGAGGTAGACAAAACTAGCAATTTCTAAAAAAAAAAAAAAAAAAAAAAAAAAGTTGTGTTCCCTTTAACAGTCATCCTACTCCACTGAAATTATAAGATTGATTAAATACTGAAGCTAGCTACATATTGTGGAATCACCAATAGACTACTTATTTTTAAAAGTAACAGAAATCCATTCATCTTCAATGGTTAACTATTGGCAAACCTGGAAGCAGGAGCCTGAACCAGGTGACCTCTTGAGAAGACTTTGTTGTCAAATTATGTCATGAACTTAAATGGCCAGCAGTCTGGAGAAACAAAAAGTAAGTCCAACTCCAACCCTTATGATGACATGATAAGAGCCAGGTGCAACTGTATTAATCAGCATGTGGCAAAAATGCCTATGTCTGCTAATCAGATAACAGTGGCTGTGTTGAGAAAACTGTCATGGTGAAAGCATCCTTGCTTGGCACCTAAGTCCCTGGGCACTTGGCCAAACACGATGTGAACAGCAGTAGCTGAGTAGGACAGGCTTTAGAGGTGGAATTCATGCACATAAAATCTCTAGGACTATTACTTCTGCTCACTGAAATATTAATTCTGCTAAACATACTAAAGGGGAAAATTCTAGTCCATACTGAAATAACATTTAAAAATAAGGAATAGTTTCAGCCACTATGTAAGGGCTCCATTACAGCAGCTAATAATAATAATAATAATAATAATAATAATAATAATAATAATAATAATAATAATAATACTGCTGCTCCTGCTGCTCATGCCATCTCTTCCCTGTGGTGTTCTGTGACTTACAAAGCTTGTGCTGAGAACTTAAAAATATTGATTATTAAATCCTGCTGAACACTGGGAATAAAGTAATGGAAACAGAATGCTGCATTTTATATCTACTACATCCTTTCATATACTGTCTTATTTTAGGGAGAAAATTCCCATAATGAATATTAGGACAGAATATTCTCATAATGAAACTATTTATTACATCATTTTATTTTCATAACAAGCTTGTTCTCATTGCATTTTACATAAATGAGAATTAAGTAAAATGCTAGCTAAAATATATATTTTGCTTTAATATTTAAACAGATGAAACCATTCAATTCCACGAAGTAGGATGGAGCATTAACCTTTAGGGAGCAAGAGTTCATTTCTAAGGACTGACGGAGTGATTCTGTGTTTTATCAAACCACTTAAGCCAAAATGGAGTTAAGTTAATTGGCTATTTCAAGGCACTGTAAAGACACTTTCATGGTTTAAAAAGCATCCGTTTCCATTATCATCAATGCGATAAGTGTAGAACCATTTTACACTGTTTCTACATGCTTTTATTGTATAGAAAGGAAAATGCACTATATTATGTTAAGGTATATGGATTTTTTTTAACACTACTTCTTTGTGAAAATTTACAATTTAAGGTAAATATTCCTTAAAAAAAGCTCCAATAAACTAGACAGATGAAATAACGCTGCTCCATCTTAATAATATGGAAAATTTATATAAAAAATACAATTAAAGAAGCCAAAATTACATTTGTGCATAGAAGGAAAACATAAAAAATCGTTTAACGTAAGTAAGCAATGAGGCAAATTGACATCTTTTATTAATGTAGCTTTTTAAATTCACTAAACTAAGTAATATCAATATAGAAGAAAACGGTACAACACAAAAGGGCTTACAGTGAGAGTTAATTCTCTTTCCCTCACTTATCCCAGTCTGTACTTCTGAACTCAGTATGACCCATATATGTATGTACACTGACAACACATAATTATGATAAATAACATCATTATAATATAAGGAAAACTAAGTGGGGTGCTGCCTTTTTTTTCTTTAGCCAACTCTCCAATTTCAAATGAAAAAAAGGCCTTGCTTCAGCTAAATTATTAATGTTGTAATAATCTGTCATTAGAATCAATATTTGCTTTATTATTCATAGTGCATACAGTGCTAAAATGGACCTTCTCTGAAATAAATTTAGTGCCTTGTCACAATACAGTATGATTTTACAATATTGCTAATGTGCACAAGGCATTCAAATACAGAATATCGACATGTCAGAGATTTATGACAAATGTGAGGAGAAGATGAATCTAGGTTAAGCTTGCATGTCACTTTGACTGAGGTCAAAAAAATCCATACTATTCATAATGTATCTTTCACCCACAGTCTTAAATGAAAAACCTTCTAAGCACAGAAAGAGGATATTTATTTTTCATCTCGCTTGTACAGATACTCTAGAATTGGGGTTAAAAGAGAAAATAAAAATTCATCAGCAGGAAAGTGAGCTAATTACATTTTGGGGATGTACAATGACTTAGGACCAAGGAGCTGGATATATACTCAAAATGCTTTCTCCATTATGATCTTTACTTTTGTCTGCAGGTGTGTTTAATGTTTGTGAAATCTGAGAAGTACAATGATGTAGGTAATAGTCACTCTCTTTCAACTTCGATTTTTATGGATTTTACAACATGTAAAAGAGCAAGCAACTGCATTTCAATTTATTTTATTAATTTACTATTTCCTAATTTTTTCAACACAACACAGTTTTTAGACATACACAGAGCACAATGTTCAATTCCTCTAATTCTTCTCATCCCTGAAAATTAGTGTAGACCAAATGTTGTTATACTATTACCCTTATCAGTGAATAGTTTAGGAATGGGCAAGTCACCTAGTCCTGACCAATGATATATAAAGGGAAGTCTGTTTGAGGCTTTTAGAAAAAGAATCTTTCTTCTTATACAGAAGACTCGGAGCCATTCTTCCTCTTCTAAATTTTATCTCCTGATTCAGGGAGCTCCTAGAGCCATCTTGACACCCTGGGGAAAGTCAGCTTAGCTGACCTGAAAAGGATGTAGACTTGATAGATGAAAGGACTTGATTACTTCATAAAAGTGTCTTCAGATAAGTCTGGAGACCACCTTATCTTTGGGTTATTTTATTTAAGATAAATAGCCTATTTTAAGCCAGTTTGAGATGCAGTTCTTTCTCTGTTGCAGCCAAAAAGTTTCCTAACTGACACTATCAGTCGTGATTAGAAATAAATTGAAGATTAATTATTTTTTATATTTTAACTTTATTCTTTGATGGTCACACTATAGTCTGCAACTCTATTATTATGGAATTAAAATGACTAATGGACATAATCATAAATAACAAACTCCATTTTAGCTCAGAGAAATGATAGTAGTCCTGACTTATAAACTAGATCTTTTGCTAAATATTTCTATGAAGCCTATTTTTATCTCTGAAAAGGTTTCAAGTGTTAGGATAATTTCATATAATTCTTTCTATTAATAGGTTGGTCTTTATATGTACATTCAGCCAACATTTACTCAGTGAATAGTGAGAAAGGTAAATACATAAAATTGTGACAAGAGCAGTAATAGACATTATGCCCAGGATATTCTGAGAACGTGAAAGAAAGGTACTACCCGATCTAGCATAGAGGAAGAGGAAATATCACGGAATGTTTTCTAGATAAAATTATGCCTAAGCCAAATCTTGAACAATGGTTAGGGCTTGCCAGATGACAGAAGGACATACTATGAGGATATAAAGCAAAGCAAAGCAAATAGATCAATAAAAATAGAAAGGCATGTACTTAGAATTATGAGTCCAGGAAGGGAGACAAGAAGTGAAAACAGATGAGGCTGAAAATAACAGCATAATGTAGGGGTTAAATGCAAAAATTTTAGAGTCACAGTGTTCTGAAGGTCAATCACTCATTCAGTCAACAAGTATCAAGTTTCAATTATATATCCAATTCTGTGATATACATCAGTGACACCGTAACAATCCCTGTCATCATGGAGTGCACATTCTAGAAAATGAGAGTGACAAACAACTAAACAAAACAGACGTAAATGAAAGAACTGTTAGTTATAAAGGATGTTATGAAGGAAAGAAAGGGTTGAGATAGAAGTTAACAACAAATGCCTATTTTAAACAGGATAGTCATGGTGGATCTCCCTGAGAAGGTGACAGGCTGAACTTAAAAGCTGACAAGGACTCAACTGTGTAAGGAATAAAGAAAGAACTTCTCCAGAAATCTCAGAAGAACCACCATGTATATGGTCCAGTCACAACCCCTTCTCTCTTCACAAAAGCAAAACCAGTTTCCAAAAGGAATATTAAACATGTCTTTGTTTTCCTCTGTAATTGCATCCCCTAAGTGTGCACCCCAAAACAATTCATTTTGCCCATTTTTTGCTTATATTTCAACTTTTATAATGTGCAATTTTACCCTCATCCATTGCTTTTTTCTTACATATATGTATTAAGGACATTTGCTCATTTAATCTATAAAGCCACCCACCAGGAGAGAAAATGAAGTAACTTTTATCAGTCTCCTTTTGGACAGCTCTTTCATCAATATTACTTACCTGCTCTTATGTCCTTTTAGAAAATTTAAAAATAATATCTTTATAGGACCCACTTCAAATTTCCACAAGGAAAGATTTCCCCTCAGTGCACTCCCATTTTAGGGGTGGAATATGTTATCTGACTGGTGTATCTGGGAATAAAAATGTGGCAAGATGGGACCAACTTCCTTTCTCTCTTGAGAGTTGTTAGAGTGAACGCAATTTTCTCCTTCTTCTGGGCCTCTGTTGAAAGGAAGGGGTTGGGCAGTGGGCGTGGTGTAAATGTCTGCCCCCATTCAGTACTGGTGGGACCGTGGTTCAGATGGCCTAACCCTGAAGAGATCTGCTGATAACCCTATGTAGCTTACTTTGAGCCATGTCCTCCATTGCACTCTCCCACTGATACAAGCAATATTTTGGCCCCATGGTACATTTTTGCTTTATTTCTTCAAATTTTTGAAGCTTTGCAGAGGAAGAGTGATATCCTGAGATCCAAACAAACAGTGTTCATTTTATTTCAAGATTCAGCTTAGAGGCATGTGGTCATCATGATGAACTGTATCTTATTTAAGTAAGCACATTTAACTTACTTAAGCTAGCACATTCCTAACAAATATGGTTAAATTTAAACTTTGTAATTTAACTCATTTAATATTTCAAATGTATTAGAGTTGCACATCATTTTTAAAGTAATTACTTGGTTAAGATTAATTATGTTACATTTAAGCATGTTTCATAAATTCAGCTTCCTTTTTCTAAATTTGTTTGCTGAAATATTTACAGAGATTTTGTTACTGCAAAGTCAGGTACTGAGACTGAACTTTTAAATGGCCTCGTTGTTAAGAAAATCAGCACTGCATGTATGGTTTGGGGATGAATTCCACAGGATGTTGAAAACCTGAGGTGCAGGAACATTGTATGGTTAAGACTCACCATTTAGGAAAGATATTTCCACACCCTACACTTCCAGAGGGATAAAGAATTCCACTGTGAGGTGGCTATCCCACTCCAATAATGATGTAAAGCAAATGCAAACATTTGGTCATTTTTGTTTCTAGTCTCTTTTCATGGTATAGTCATAATATGAGGCTTTATCCAAAATGTTACACTAAAATATGCTATACTTTAGCCAAATAAGTCTCTATAATCCCGTAAAATGAATTGAGAATAAATTTATCTTCATGGAAGCCTTTTCATCCTTTAATCTTTCCCTTTAGAGTTTTAGATGTTTACCTTAGAGTTTTATTCCCATAGAGAATGATTTATTTTACTTATTTATATTAGAATAAAAATACAAAAGTACTTTTAACTAAAGACTACTATATAATCTGTCATTTCATTGCTTACTATACGTAACTGTGATAAAGACTGTCATTCATAAATTTATAGGTAAGAAGAAATAATTTTACTTTTAACTGCATTTATTGAAAATCTACATTTCATAGTCAAAATGTAATCTCCTTGTTGGTAATCATAACTTGGGAAGTTCAAGTCTAACTCTGTTTGTCAGTGCTTCTGCTAAAAGTGCTTTGGTAAATCTTTGCTCTTTTGACCTGAAATATCTCTAGTTAATCCTTAGAAGTCTTTAGCAGCATCACAGGTTAAAAGCATATCTCATCTTCATGTATAGATCTACTTCTCTGTTTTTATGTATAAATATTTTATTTAACAAATAAAAATCAAGTTCCTTTAATGAAAAAGGGGGTTTTTGATCAGCATCATAGTTCACCTCAATACTTAATCATATAAACAGTGTATCCTTATCTGAAAGAGACAAAAAGGCCTTATTGATTTGTTGTATATGAGTATTACTAAACAGAATTTGAAACAGGCAGACACAAATATATAAGTGACTTTTCAGAGAAAAGAGTATTAGAAAGATGATTTAAAGAACTTCATTCATTGCAACTTTACTTTTAGACATGTCAATTGCATAACAGAAATATTATCACCATGTCAACCAGTTTTCAAACTGCTGCTTGACCAGATAAAACAAATAGTTTGTTCAGCACCCAAGTTGCCAAGTGTAACTGATATGGATTCATAGACTACTGAACATTTTTTAGCTAATTTAAATTACATGCATTTTTACCTCAGTGTGAAAAAAGGAACTGACATATTTCTTTGAAATGTCATCTGGAAAACTCCAGGGATAAAAAGTAAAATATATGAATATATATATTTAGTGAAGCCAGAGTAGATTTGTAGGAAATAATTACGGGTATTATTTTGTATAGGCTACTGATGCCTTTCAACCTTTTTTTCCCACTAGAAAGAATTAATTTTGCAATAGACAAATTCATAATTGCAGTCAGATTTAAATACTCTTATTTCAATAATGTACACAACAAACAGACAGGAAATCAGTAAATATAGAGAAGACACAGTCAAACAACTTGACCTGACATTTACCAAACACTCCATGCAACAACAGCCAAATGCACATTCTATTCAAGTACATCATAACATTTACAAAGATGGATCATATTATGAACCAGAAGGCAAGTCTCAACATATTTTAAAGGATTCAATTTATATAATTTATGTTCTCTGACTAAAATGAAATTAAATTAAAAATCAACAAAAGATCTCTAGAAAATTCCCCCAAATTTGGAAGTCATCATTACCATTACTATCACCATCATCCATGGGTCAAGGAATAAATCAATAGGGAAATAAAGAAATATTCTGAAATGAACAGATGCAAGTGAATAAACATAAAAATACAAAACATCAAAATTCATGTTATGGTGCTAAAGTGACACTTAGGGGTAAATATACAGCCCTAACTGTCTATATTAGAATAAAAAGAAAGTTTTCATATCAATAACCCAGCTTCAGTATAAAGAAAGTTTTTTAAAAAAGCAAGTGAATCTCAAAACAAACAGAAAAAAGAAAATCAAGATAAGATCAAAGAAGTGAAAAACAAAAAGACATTAGAGAGAAACCAATGAAACCAAAAGTTGGTTCTCTGAGAAAACGAACTGATAACTTCTTGCTAGGAGGGGAAAAAAAAAACGAGAGAAGACACTACTTATCAATATCAGGAATAAGAGAAGTTACGTGACTTGTGACTTTAAAAACTATCTGATCTTTAAAAAAAATTTTTCCTTCCATATCTCTTCCTGTCCATCAAGCTTCTGTCTCGTATCAGTAATTTATCTTCTTTCAGTGACTTTTAATTAGACTTTACTTCAGCCATTTTTCTTCCATTTAAAAAATCTGGTTCTATAAACTTCAATTTCATTGCTTTTCATTGTTTTCCCATTTTCATTCTGGAATATAGTTTTTGTGCTTTGAAGTCCTGTTTTATACAGAAAATTGCTTCCTCTTCTGTGTCTGTACTTCTTCACTCATAGTTAACTTCATGCAAATATGCATGCAAGTGTCTTTTTCCCTTTGGTATCTCTTTCTCTGGTATTACAGGATTTTGTGACAAATCCGGTTGAAAAAAAAAATCAACGAGCAGACCATAAAAACATTTCCACTGGTTTAAATAAGTGAAGAGTACTCTGCACCATAGTGCCACTTACTATAGGCTTTGTCAAAATTCTACAGCAAAGAGCAGATATCCTGCTTAAGTATGCCCACTTACTTGTATTTAATCTTCACTGTACTTGATAACTCTTTATCATATGTTGTGGTTTGGGGTTACTGAGATCACCCACCTTGTGAGTACAGCCTTTTGTTTTACGCACTCCTTACTGCTATAGGATAACTTTCAAGAGAAGAAATCATTTTAAAATCGGGTACGTCTCCTATTTTAAACTTGTTCTCTAATGAGAAGATAAATGCTAGAGAGGATATGAAGAAATGGGAACCCTCCTACATTGCTGGTGGGAAAGTAATTTAGTGCAGCAACTATGGAAAACAGTATGGAAGTTCCTTAAAAAACTAAAAATAGAGTTACCATATGATCCAGCAATTCCACTCCTGAGGATATATACAGAGAAAATTCTAATTCAAAAAGATACATGCACCCCAGTGTTCATAGCAGCACTATATACAATAGCCAAGACATGGAAGCAACCATCAACAGATGATGGGATGAAGAAGTTATAGTAATCACACACACACACACACACA